AGGTACCGGGGAAGGGTTGGGGGGTGCTGGGCCTGGCAGCCGCAGATTGGAGAAGAGCTTTAAAATCATCGAGTCCAGCCATTGGGCTAACGCTGACAAGTCCTTGGCTGAACCATAAACCTTAAATGCTGAGTCTGCACGACTCTGCAGCGATGGGGACTTTGCCACTCATTCCAGCGCCTGACAACCCTTTCACTAAATAATTCCGTCCTAATACCCAATCTGAACCTCCCTCGGCGCAACTTGAGGCCATTTTCCGTTGCCCAGTCGCTTGTGGGTGGATTCCCACTTCTCTGTAAGCTCCCTGAAGGCCTCCCTCGGCAGGGGCTGGAGGGCAGGGAAGGCCGCAGGGGAGGGATTGCCCAAGGAGGGGCTGTGAGGGAGCTTTGGATGTGGGCAAGGGGAGCTCAGCGTCGCAGAATTGTTGAGGCTGGAAAAGACCTCTGAGATCAAGACCTCGGAGATCGTGCCAGCCTGGAAGATGCTGGCTGATGGGAGAGCACTGGATAAATGGAGCGAGACCTGAGCGAGGGCTCTGTGCCGTTCTTGAGGACATGGCTGTGTGCTGGGGGTGTGGGAGCGGTCGCTGCGCCAGGGCTCGCAAAGGAGAGGAGCACACAGAGAGGTCCGAGGGACTCATGGAATGTGTGGGGTTGTGTTGTGCCGTGGGAATTTGGGAGCCCTGTGCACAGCAGAGCAGGGACAGAGTCAGGGGAGCTCACCCTGGGAGGGCACAGTGGCAAGCAGGGCACCCCCAGGGAAATCCTGGGCTGGGAGGGCTTGTGGGTGCAAGTGTTTTGTGTTAAATTTGGTGCAGGAGAGGTGGGGAGGGACTCCTTATCAGAGGCTGTAGCGCTAGGATGAGAGGTAACAGCTTCAAATTGAAAGAAGGTAGATTTAGATTAGATATGAGGAAGAAATTCTTCACTAGGAGGGTGATAAAGCACTGAAACATGTTGCCCGCAGAGGTTGTGGCACCCTCCATGGAAGTGTCCAAAGCCAGGTTGAATCAGACTTTGAGCAACCTGGTCTGGTGGGAGGTGCCTCTGCCCAGGGCAGGGAGGTGGAACTGGATGATGATGAGATCCCTTCCAGTCCAAACCATTCCATGATTCTCTGATTCTACATTCCCTGAAATGGCTGTGATGACCCACATGCGGTGGCGTACAGGCATGCAGGGATGGGGTGCGCTGGTGTTTGCAACCAGGTGTTTTGTGTTGTGAAACTAGAGCCTGGGACTGATAGCCTGAAGAGATTGAAGAGCAGCTGGAGCTGGCTGAGACTGTATATACCATACCAAAATCTCTAGATATGAGGAAAGCTGTGTTTTCATGCTGCTCCCTCTAAAAACTGACCCTGTCGATCTCCTTGTTTGATGCCCCATGAGTGTCAAGTCTGAAAACTGGGAGAAAGCTTTGAGACTGGAGAAATGGTAAAAAAATGACTCTTGTGACAAGAGGAAGCCGAGAAGGAGTGGAGACCTCTGTGCGCTTTCATATCCGGCAGTAACATGTCAAGCTTTAGCTATTGGTATTAGAAAACACCACGAGTTCTGTGGGTGTACAAAGTGTAGAGGAATGCTTAAAAATTCTCCGTGCTGGCGCTGTTGCTCACTGCCAGTGGCAGGGTTTAGGACTGCCCGTATTCAGTTCTGCCTGCTTGTCTTTTCTCCAGACGTGGCAAGCTGCAGAGAGAGTCCGACTTCATGGCCAGTGTAGACAGCAGCTGGATCTCCTGGGGTGTGGGAGTCTTCATTCTGAAGCCCCTGAAGTGGACTCTCTCCAGTGTGCTGGGTGACAGTAAAATACCCGAGGAAGAGGAAGTTCTGATTTACGTGGAGCTGCTTCAGGTGAGTGTTGCTGAGAGCTTTCTCAAGATTATGCATCTCCAGGGAAAAAAAATACGAGTCATTCTATGTGCTAGCAAGGAAAGGTCAGGATAGAATAGACTTTTGGTTGTACTCACTGGGTATTTAAAAGCCTGGAGAGAGGTGGATTGAATAAGAAGATCAAAGTAGTTTGTATCTACAGATGTTCTTTGAAACTAGCATCTCCAGGGAAAAAAAATACGAGTCATTCTATGTGCTAGCAAGGAAAGGTCAGGATAGAATAGACTTGGTTGTACTCATTGGGTATTTAAAAGCCTGGAGAGAGATGGATGGAATAAGATCAGAAGTAGTTTGTATCTACAGATGTTCCTTGAAACTAACACAGTGACTTTTCACGGACTCCCGAGGAATGGGAGGGGCAGGCTGGCTTGCTTGTCTAGGAAGGCAAGTGGTGTGCTGCGAGACCGCTGTAAATCTTGGGGCTGAGTTCCTGCAAGCGTGGTGTGTGAGAGAAACTTGCAGATTGAATGCCAGCTGTCACAGGCAGGAACGGGTGACGTAGAAGTCGCTGGCTGTCAGTCCAACGTATCGTCGAGCTGAGCTCGCGTGTGCGTTTATTCAGAACATGTGCTTCCAGCTTGTCTTATCAGACCTGATTAGAACTGCCCTTGCATCCTGAGACCCTTTTTTCTGGCACGTTGCTGGTGGTTGGCCTGTGGATTGCGTTGTGAATTTTTGTAGCTCGTTATTCCTCCATCTGACTTGGCCTGTGCGGTGCTGACAATCGAGCCTTTGCGTCCTTCTCTGTGTCACTCTGCGACTGTTAAAATTAGCCCCGAGACTTGCTGCTGCCGCATGCAAATGGTGCCCAAACGACTGGGACTAGCAGAAATGCGAGAACTCTAGATGTGTTCCTTTATTTGTAGTTAGTCTGATAGCAGGCGTGTCTTCCCTCTTGCGGTGGGTGTTCCCCGGCCCTTTCAGAGTGTGTGTGCATGGGAGAGGAGAGAAACTTTTTAAAAAGGTGCCTGGAAAACCACAAGCCCTTGATGTGGAATCTGGGGGTGGATGGCTTGTTTCTGTAGTCTTAAGTGGACCGTAACTCTTGCTTGAAATGGGGGAAACCGTTCTTCCTCTGCCCACAGACAGGTGATGCAAAATGACTTTGTGAGCACAGGTACAGCGTGAATGAAAGAAAAGGGTTTTTTGGGTTTGAACCTGGGAGGGGGGACACGACTTCAAGAAGCGCAGAGGAAGCCAACTTGCTGCCTGTGTAATTCTTATGTTGTTCCTTAGTGCAGGCAAAGTGAATGGTTTTCATGGAGAGCTGTGCTATTTTTCCTTCCATTAATTTTTATATTGCTTTTGAGTGCTAGCGTACAACTCCTCCTGAAAGCCTGTCTGGCCCCAAATAATGATGCCTCTAACTTCTCACTTTCAGCATGTGGGAGGAAGCAGGTGTGGTCTTGGCAGCTGTGAGAGAGGGAAGAGCTCTGTGTAAACTAATAGGCAGCTCTGTTGCTTCCTTTCAGGAGAAAGCAGAGGAAGTTTATCGCCTGTATCAGAACTCTGCACTTTCTTCCCACCCTGTTGTTGCCCTCTCGGAGCTGCGTTCCCTTTGCGCAGGTGTTTGTCCAGATGAAAGGACGTTCTACTTGTTGCTTCTCCAGCTGCAGAAGGAAAAGAGGGTCACGATCCTGGAACAGAATGGAGAGAAGGTACAGGGTAAAGGTGACTGCTTTTGGGTGGTATAATCCCCGTCCTGCATTTCATCTGGCTGGAAAGAATACTTGCTAAATATGGGTTGTTTGGAAACGTAAATTCTATGAACTCCAACGTCGTAACCTGGTTACTGTTGAGATTAAACCCTCGCGTTGGGGCAGCTTTGAATCTTGAGGGTGTTTCATTAAGGCTTTCTGTTTTCACACCGATGTTACTTGATCCTGTCTAGTTTAACATTAGATTCTATGGTGACTGCTACATCTGCTGTTACAAGGCTTAAGCCAGGAGTGTAAAAGCATCTTTTTCCTTCCATCAGAGTGAAAGAATTTCTCACGCAAGCACAGGTTATGGAGACAAGTGACTCGAGCGTTTTCTTTCTTTAGATAGTGAAATTTGCCCGAGGTCTTCATGCCAAAGTCTCCCCAATGAATGATGTGGACATTGGAGTCTACCAGTTGATGCAGAGTGAACAGCTGCTGTCACAGAAGGTGGAGTCCCTTTCCCAGGAAGCAGAGAAGTAATTTGGGGAAGGGTGGCGGGAAGAACGTCCGTGTGCCGTAGAACTTTGTGTTCCTGTGATGTAGTTAGAACAAAGCTGCTTTCTGGAAGCTCAAGTCATTCTTTTCTGTTCAGTAAACATAGTAGTCATGTGGTAGGGCAGGTTTCCCAGTCTTTGTTCCCCGTTCCCATGAAAACAACGTGCAGTGGGTGGATGTCAGAAGTTTTTTGCCAAGATGCGGAACGCGTTCAAGGGCTACTTCTGTGAAGCAGCGATGGCTTTAAGGGTGGATGTATCCAAAATGGGTTGTTACTGGATCACACTGGATTAAAGCGAGGCAGTGAGGATGGTTGCTGATTTGTGAAATAACAACTGCTTGCACAGGAATAAGCTACTTTTCCTTCTTGCACCTGTACAGATGTAAAGAGGATGCCCGGAGTGCTTGTAGAGCTGGGAAAAAGCAATTGGTAAGTACTGATTTTCTTGGGAGGAACTGCAAGTTAAGTGTCTCGGAGCCGGTCCGTAACTGCAGATAGTCACTGGGGTTAGGTGTTGTGTGCTTGAACTCAGATGTGTTGAAGCGGTGGTTCCGAGGCCAAAGGTCTCCATAAGGTGAAGATAATGTATTTGTCCAGCGTGACGAGAAGAGAAAGAGAGATCCCTCGCTCTTAAAGCCAGCTGTTGTGTGCATGCCTTCCTGCAGAGGATTTGCTGGTTATTTTTACGCGTCCTTTGGCTGCTGCCTGCTTTGTGATCCAGGCCTGTGTATCTGATTTCTCCAGGCGCTGAGGTGCTTGAAGTCCAAACGAAGGACAGAAAGGCGCATCGAAGAACTCCATTCCAAGCTGGATGCAGTGCAGGGCATCTTGGATCGTATATACGCCTCCCAGACCGACCAGATGGTAGCGTGTTCGTTTGTCTTGTGCTTCTCACTTTAGCCTCATTCTTCTCGTTTTTGCTGCTTTACCTGCTTGTCGGAGCTTGTGTCTGAGGGGTGCAGGCTGGCTGGTGGGACTTGGTCTGCTCCAGAAAATCTGCTTGTTGTTCTGAATAAACCTGCTTGTGGCTTCATTTTCTGCTAATGTTTTTTTCTGGGGGTCCTGCTTGGATAACAGATCTTGAGAGGAGCTTACTCTTGCCTGTTGTTTGTTCTTAGCATTGTGCACCTTTCTCTTTTATTTAAAGGTATTTAATGCCTATCAGGCTGGTATGGGAGCTCTGAAACTGTCTATGAAGGATGTTACCGTGGAGAAGGCAGAGAACCTGGTGGATCAGATACAAGAGGTATTGAAATAAGAGCAAATAAACAAGCAAGCGGTGTGTAGATGTGTGCAGCAAGCTTGCCCAGCTATTAATGCTGAGGCTTTTGGCACTGTCTTGTTTCTATTCCATATGTCGCGTGCACAAACTGACTGAGCCTTGATCTTTTTAGATCAGCAAGCAGAGGTCTTCAGATAACTGTCAGCATTTGGTTTCACATATTTGCATTTCTTGCTGGCTAGTAATCACAGCTTATGTCCAATTTGTGTGTTTCCTGCGTTCTTTTGGTTAACAATATCATGCAAGCACGCGTCTTTCGTAGAAAATTGTTAGCAAAAGAAATGCAGGTCGTGCCTTTGGAAGCTGGAATGCAACTACATGCCTAAAAGCAGGGTCTTAAAACTGCCTAACCTATAATCTTCTGCAATTCAGTAAAGGAAAGGGGATAAGTTTATTTGGGATGAGTTGAAGAGAGTAATCTGTCTGTATAAGCTGGTGTAAAAAGCAGAAAAGGATTACTTTTTTAGCAGCTTCAGCTCCAGGTACCTAAATAGTGACTTCAAGTACTGAGCTGAGGTGGCAGTGTGTAAAATTTCACAGCTGAGACGTCTTGGTCTGTAACTTCCTGATTTTGTTAGCCTAAGCTGAAATACAAGCTAGTTGCTTATGTGAGAGAGCTAAAATTAGGGGGATTATTTTTAAATTTATTTTACTATGAAACTTTCAGTTTTGATCCTCAAACATGCTGCTTGGTCTTGTGGCACTTTAATAATCCATGTTACTGCTTTCACTAGTGAAAAAACACTCCTGTTGGAAGGATTTCTACTGCCTTTAAGTGAACTTTTTGAGTTGTTTTTTTTGTTTCTGCTTTTGACGTAGGTGGTTACCGTGCGACCTAAGGTTAGTTTATATTCTATATCAAACGCTGTGTATTTTTTTTCCTCAGCTTTGCGATACTCAAGATGAAGTAGCCCAGACTCTGGCTGGAGTGGGGATCAATGGTCTAGGTATGTTTTGGGGTTTTCATCCTTCCTTTAGAAGCAGCACATGGAGTTGCTTGTTATTACGACTAATGATGGATGGGAGTAATAATACCTCAAACATGGACTTGAGTCTGTGCTGCGGAGGTGCTTGGAACTGAACGTTTTCTTTAATCAGCAGAGATGGATACAGAGGAGCTGGAGAAGGAGCTGGACAGTCTCCTCCAGGACTCGACTAAGGAGCCCGTAGATCTGCCTCCTGTTCCCCAGAAGGTGCCAAATCCACCCATTTCTGATGCCGAGCTTGAAGCCGAGTTGGAAAAGCTCTCTGTTTCTGATGGAGGTATGGATGTGGGCAAGTGGTGTCAGCTAGCTGCCGGTAGGAGCTGTGACAGCCTTACAGAATGGGAGATGTTTAGCAGAACTGAAGTCTGAGCCAGAATCCCTCGCACTTCCAGCTACGTGGTTGAAAGCAAGCTCTCTCTGGTGTCCCTGCCAGGTGCCCAGTGGTGTCTTTCACTGCTGGACTTGGTCCAGAGAGAACTTCCCTCTTTGCTAGAAATTCTACCTGGACTGTTTGCCATGTAAGGCCCTGTGAAGGTGCTAGCTCTTGGACTAATTATTTTTCGTTGTTGTTTAACAAAGCCTGTCTGAAGGCAGACAGTGGTTTTTGTATGTTCTATTGACAGTGATAAAGTAGACCAGAATTTTAATGCCTGTTGCTGCCAAGCACGTAGCATCTTCTCTGTCCTAGAATGCTCACTGTGATACAGCTATGTCTGCTTAAACTAGTACTAAACTAGTCTTTATTTAGTAACAGCCAGTGACCAGAGCTTACAGGCTTGAACTGAATGCTGAATTTGCCCTAGACTTGTCTTGGCCAGGAGTAAATAGGCTTTAATTCTTCTTTCAGGAATCTGGTGATGAACAATTGCACAGGACTGTCCGTATAGTTTTCTTCTTATTTGGACACCTGATGTTCTCAAAGCTGATCTCTTTCTGTTGCAATTTTCTTTATAGATTTGGCACAAAAGACTCCCTCTGCTTCCTCTGAACCCAAAACAGCAGCTCTGGGACTGAATCTCTAAAGACCCAACAGTATCCTGTTGCTGCAGTTTGTGAAGTTGTCTTAAGGTTCCTTAACTAATGACTAGAACTTCTGGGAAGAGGGGTAACGCTCCCCTGTTCTTCATGGATATCACTTTGCTCAGCAACAGGATCTCCTGCCATGACAATCCACTCTGGAACTGGCCCCAGCTGGTGTTTGTCATCTCTGTGCCAACATCTGCACTGGTCTCAATTTTTGACTTGTGGTCCCAAGTCACTCTGCGACATCCAGTCTTCCCTTCTGGGAACACACTTCACTATTCTGCCCAGTGAAGATAAACTCTTCGATGTCCATAACAGTGCTCGTTTGGTTTTTGGTTTCTTATTTTAACTTTTTTTTTTTCCTCCTTTGCTGGGGCTGATGTTGAGAACCTGAGTTGCAGCCGTATTGCAGTTGCTCAACATTTGGCTGTTTGTGTGGTTGTTTAAAACACTTGACACATGAGTACTGTCCTTGACATAACTTATCTGCAACAAGCTTAAACACCCGTTGATAGTTCAATCCCTCCCTCTCTGTATTTTGCACGGTCGTGGACAGTTAGACACTGTAACTGTTAAGTTGTAGGAGATTTTGGTGCTGCTCTAGGGGGCAGCAATTGCAAGCACAAGACAAAAGTAATTCCTCTTTCTGTAATGACACTTAAGGCCTTAAAAGGGAGACCTGCAAAAGATTTTTTTTTTTTTTGAATGAAGGAGTTTCTCACTCTGCCTCTTGCCGCAGAGGCTTGTGGTCACTCTAATACAATTGTCTGCTTGCTCTCACTTGAAATTTGAGCTGTTTGCTATTTTTGTATCTTCCCTGTTTGCAAAACTTCTCGGGAGCTGCAGGCTGATGGCCTTTAAGCTCTCGCCCTGAGTGATTTGGGGTGGGAGGAGAAGGAATGCATCGTTTTCCCTTACCGGGAGGACTGTTTTGTGTAACAGCCACGACTTCGCCTTCAGTCTTGATGTTGCAATCCCACAAGATTGTGGCTTACCAGGAAGCCCCAAAACAAAACTCTGTAAATGTTTCTAATACAAAAAAACCCCCACAAACCACCGAGGCCAGCAACTGAAGACGTTTTTTCGAGGCTGCCCAGAAGTGAAACGATCATCTTTTGCAGGTCACTTTTTTATTATGCGTATGCACATGAAAGAGCAGAAAAGCCTGATGCCCGACGTGAATAAATGAGTTCTTTCAGGAGGGGAATGTGCTCTTAACTGGGCTTTCTGCACACAGAGCCTGTGCAGGGGAGCGACTAGCTACGTGTTGATGTATAACCAGTCCTCCTCTCCCTGACTCGGAATGTATTCCTGTCACCGTTTCTACGCTGCCTCCTCTACCAAGCTCCGTGGCTCGAGCTGTGTCGGTGGCAGCTTGGGTGAACGGTAAACTGAGGCTGGAGATCCCAGGTCCTGTTAATTATTGGTGGCCCAGTTTTAGCCCCAGAGGACCAGGGAAGAAATTCAGAGGTGTCACTAGGGTGCTGTGTTGTTGCTTTGTTGGGGAGTGCAGGCTCCTGCCGCAGGTGTGCTGTAGCCAGCTAGCAGGTCACCCAGGCTGCACACGGCATTATGTGAAATGACTTGAAGCTCTGTATTCCTTTCCTTTGTAAATAAATTGGGAGAAAAACCACTGTGTTTTCTGCCTACGTGTAATAAAGGGGAGGAACCGGAGCCCCGTGTGGTGCCTCCTTTTCTTTTCTCTGTGCTGCAGATCGCTGCCAGCGCTTCTGCATCTGAGGCTTGTCTGCTGAAAGGAAAGGGGCAGTGTGCCGGGCCGCTTTGTCAAAAAACTAACTGAGCAACTGCTGTGCCAGAGTTTGATTTCCCTGAGCTTTTTCTCTGTGTTTAAAAAAAAAACAAACAACCCCTTAGTTCTTAACATTTAATTCTAAAAAGTTGTCTGCTTTAGCTTGTACTGGTTTTTGGTTGTGGCACCTTAACTTTCAAGGCTCCTTTTACTTTGCTTCAGCCTGCCTTTACCTTTCCACTTCTTGTGCATCTCACAAATGTGCAGTTCCAAGGCTCTCACAAAACACATTCCCTAAGCCACCTTATTGTGGCCGTAAGGGAAACTGCCCTGCCAGGGAGTCAGTTGGTTTTGTGCTAACCAACACGTAAGCCTTATTCTGGGTCAGTCTTTGTCCAGCTTCTTGTTCTAATTGTAATGAAGCAGTGCAGCCAGCGAGACTGGCACTGATTTTTTCTAATGTCTAAAGAAAATGAATCTAAGTGGAATAACCTAGTGCATAAACTGCTCAAACTAACACAAAGATGCCTGAAGTAAGCTTTGTCATGCATCTGAGACAGCCCTTCTGGAAGAGGCATTTAAGAGTTAAACCCAAGCAGCTGCTGCTTAATTTGAAGTGGCTTGTAATTTTCTTCCTTTGATGCAAAGTGGGGGATGTAATCAAGATGGCTGAATGGAGAATTTTAAGTATATTTTGGTGAGACAGCAGGGAAGGGAAATAGAGGGCAGCTTCTTGCTGGGTGAGGAAATTAAATATAAAAAGCCAGCGCTGAAATTGCCACCAAACTGGAATCTTATCATATTTGAGTGCTGTTTAAAATAGCACTTAACGTGATTCTCGGGGAAAAAAATAGCAGGTGCTTGTGTGAGGAAATGTAGCAACTGTTCAGTAATATAATGCAGTTTTCTCAGTAGAGAAGGTTGCATCTTACCAGGGAATGTGAGTAACTGCCTGTGTTTTGTTGGAGTAACTGCATTTTGCTGGCCCACAACAGCAGAGTCGGATCCTTTCTCAGGTGCGTTCCAAGCTGCACAGAAATTGGTTAATACATGAGATCCCTTCCGTCTTCCCCCCACTGACCCGGCTTTGAGGGTCTGCTTTGGTGCATATTGTGAGTGTGAGATCCTTTCTTGGCTGTTTTTAAGCTCCTAAGGAGGAGGAAGGCTTCGTTGTTGGAAGGGATGATTTCCTGGAAAGCCTCCTGCCTTTGCACGCATGACCCGTGTGCCTTGAGCTCCCAGCCTGTGCCGTGGTGTCAGTCTGTGACGGGTCACCTGCCAGCACCCTGCCCTTGAAGAGAAGCAGGAGCATCCCTTTGCCTGTGTCTGGCAACTTAGATCTCAAAAATATTTGTGCCCTGTAGAAGGAATACTAGAAAATACGAGAAGAACGCCCTTGAGGGCACGGAAGGCGGTGGATCTGCGTGCACCCTTGCGTGGGTCGGTGCACCGCGGGGGTCCTGTGGGCAATTCGAGGGACCCTCCTTTTCCTCTGCGGAGGTGGTGGTGAGGAGGAAGGCAGCTGGCAGAAGAAGGTGAGGAGGAGGTGGTGGTGAGGAGGAAGGCAGCTGGCCTGACACAGAAGACCCGAGGAGTGCTGAGCCGTGAGCCGGCCCTTGGTGCCATCTAGCTGCTCGTCCTGGCATAGGCGCTTGGCGGGAGCAGGCTGCAGACGGCGTAACTAATGAGGCTTAATTAAACAAAGCCTTGAGAATTAAACGCAGTGACACGCTGGCAACAAGTTTCTTTAACCCGTCACAAAGCGAGCGTGCTGTTTGCTTTAGGAATAAGCTTCTTGGTGCTGTATCTCCAAGAGAATAATTGCACTCTTGTTCCAAAGTTGTTCTTGGGCAGCTCCTGCTCGATCTGGGCTTACGCAAAGCCTGGGGCGCAGGGTCAGGTTAATTAAATCTCGGTGTAGCTGAGCTCACTCTGTGTAGATTGGCTGCTGCTTTCTTCCGAAGTGGTGTGCGTGACAGGCAGAGGCAGAGGTCATCGCGATACACTACAGCAGCTCGCAATGTAATGAGGGAATTAATGCTGAGCTGCCTGGTTGTGTTTTCTTTTCAGTTTGATTTGGAAAGCTCTTGCTGCTCTTTCCTACCTTGGCCAGTCTTACCAGCGAGGCATTTCTCAAAAGCAGCCGTTACGGAGCTAGCTCTCGAGGAAAGGTGCCTCCTCAAAGATTCTTTTGGCGTTTCTTGATCGGAGGAGCTCACCGCGTGCCTTTATTTACAAAGTGATGGACTCCAAGTGCTTCCGCGGTTAAATTGTGCCTGAGTAGGTCAGACCTGGCTCCTAACATTGTGGGGTTTTGCCCTTCTCCGTAAGAGGGGAGAGCCTTGCAGAGCCATTTGCTTGTCAGTCAGGAGCGAGAGCTTCAGATTTGCACAAGTGGTTTTTTTATGTGTGTCTTTTTTTTTTTGACTATTTTTTTCTTTTTTCTGTGGACTTGAAAGAGTTTTGCGACAGAAGGCAAATGCCAGTTTTACACCACTTGTAGCTGGGCAGCTCAGGATGAGGGGAGGGGCTGTTTTAGGGTCCTGTATCTCAGCTGTACCTCAGTGCCTGTGCAGGGCATGTAGCTGTCTCTTACTCAGGGATGGAGCACGCAAAATCTCCGTCTTGATTTGCACTGAAGACCCTCAAATCCCACTTGAGTGTTTGTTATTTTACCCCTTCCATCCTACCAGCTCATTCCCAAGGAACATAACCCGTCGGCTGCGGGTTCCCAAGGCTCTGATCTCCTTAGCTTGCAGAGGACCGACCTGGTGAGGAGGGGACGAGCGGGCAGAAGCACATCTCACCCGTATGAAATCCAGAGGCGGTTCACAACAGAGGGAAGAGCAGACAGCAGAGCAGCCTCGCTTATGAGCAGAGAAGGTCCGTCTGCGAGAGCAGGGAGAGCTCAGATTCCCTCTTGCATCCGGCAGCAAGCCCCAGCCTGGCCAGCGCAGGAGGAATTGACTGGGATTCCGTAGCATGCACCAGATCCACAACGGATGAAGAGCTTCGGAGAGAGGGGACGAAGGCTTGCAGCAAAAGCCCTCCCAGCTTGCTCGAGTGCTGGAGGTGAGTGCTGGCTCTCTGTGAGCGGCAGGCTGAGAAGAAAGAAACGTGGGGTGGGAGGCAAGAGGGGAGAAAAACCCAAACACACACTGTCGGCAGGAGACTTGGAAAGGAGTGAGAGCTTCAAACGGCTTTTGCTTGTGCTGGGTGTGAGAGCCGAGGGGCTTGCAGTTGGTGCTTCTGAGATGGCAGCGGAGCAGTAAAAAGGGGGTTTGGATGCTGGGGGGGGCTCGGAAGAGGTGTGTCTCTCCAGGGACCAGAACAAAAGGGGAACCCATGGATGGTTTTTACTCCTCCGCAGAGGGAGGAGGGCAGGATATGATCAATGACACCAGCAGTAGGAAGAGCTGGGCAGGAGAAAGCAATGCCACGTTGTCCTTCCGTGTGGTGACAGCTGCCTTACTTTTCCTTCTCATCCTCTCCACTCTCCTGGGCAACACCCTGGTGTGTGTGGCTGTGGTCAAGTTCAGACACTTGCGCTCCAAGGTCACCAATTTCTTTGTTGTCTCGTTGGCAGTGTCCGACCTCTTTGTGGCTGTACTGGTGATGCCCTGGAAGGCTGCCACTGAGGTGGTGGGGTTCTGGCCCTTTGGGGCTTTCTGTGACATTTGGGTGGCTTTTGATATCATGTGCTCCACAGCCTCTATCCTCAATTTGTGCATCATCAGCGTGGACCGTTACTGGGCCATTTCCAACCCCTTCCGCTACGAGAGGAGGATGACACAGCTTGTGGCTTTCATCATGATCGGGGTGGCTTGGCTACTGTCCCTCTTGATCTCTTTTGTCCCCGTGCAGCTGAAGTGGCACAAGGATCACGAGCTCCTTAACCAACGGGAGCTTAGTTTTAACGACACCAAGGAGAAGGAGAACTGTGATTCCAGCCTCAACAGAACTTACGCCATCTCGTCTTCTCTCATTAGCTTCTACATCCCTGTTGCCATCATGATTGTGACCTACACCCGCATCTTCCGCATTGCCCGGCGGCAGATCCGCAGGATCTGCTCCTTGGAGAGGGCAGTGGAACATGCCCCGAACTGCCCCAGCAGCGACTGCCCTCACGAGGCCTCCCTGAAGAACTCCTTCAAGAAAGAGACCAAGGTCCTCAAGACTCTGTCCATCATCATGGGTGTCTTTGTCTTCTGCTGGCTGCCCTTCTTCGTGCTCAACTGCCTGGTGCCCTTCTGTAATCTTGACCTGCGGGAGCCGGGAGAGCTACCTTGCGTCAGCGAGACCACCTTCAACATCTTTGTCTGGTTCGGGTGGGCCAACTCATCCCTCAATCCTATTATCTACGCCTTCAACGCAGATTTCCGGAGAGCTTTTGCGACCATCTTGGCCTGTGACTGCCTTTGCCCTAGCAACAGGGTGGAGACGGTGAATTTCAGCAACGAGCTGGTCTCCTACCACCATGACACCACGTACCAGAAGGAAGTGGTGACCCTCAGCTACCCCCAGCTTCTCCCCAATGCTGCTCTGCAGGTCGAAAGCAACGAGGTGTCCCTTGACAAGGTTTCTCAGGTCTCCGAGCCCTCTCCCAGCACCTGCCCTGCGGACGCCTTGCCTGTGCTGATGCACGTGGAGTGCAACATGGCCATCTCGCTGGAGAAGGTCACCCCTTTCCCCAGCAATCCGTTCCACTGAGATGAGGGTTGGGAAAAGGGCGGTGGGATGGTCTCGAGGAGAGGTGGAAGCAGGGATAGTCCTGCAGTTGCCTGTTTTCTGGGGAATTTGAGGCTACTGGGCTGTGGATATCGCACTCTCTGGGCAGGAGTTTGCATTAGGAAGTGTGGAAGAGCCAGAGTGATTTTCCAGCTGGCTCAAAGGGGTTCAGATGTGTGTTCTTGTAAACTCGCAGTTTCAGATCCAGCCCGAGTGGGCAGCAGCGATCTGTGTTGCTGCTTTTTCTAGCTGACTCGTGGACAAATGTTTTCTGCAAAAGACAAAAATACAAGGGCTCGAATTCCACTTTCCTTGTGACTTCAGCTGAGAAAGCAAAGACTTGTGCGGTCTGTGGTTTGCCGAGCCGAGCCTCCGTGGTCCATGAAGTGAAAACACAGCTGTGCTTGTGGGGAGAGGGGCTGGTTTTGCCACCAGTGGACCGTGCAGGAAGGAGGTAATGGCCTTGCTGGGATAACTCTCTGGGGCTCACCTCTGTCTCTGTTGCTCGGGCAGGTCTGGACAGGTTTGCAGCTGCATTTCCTGGAGCCCTGAGGCTGTGCTTGGTCACAGCTTGTCTGGAGCTGTTGCGGGGAAGGATTTGGCATGCTAAAGGTCTGCTCTGGCCCCTGGAGCAAGGAGCCAGCCTCTCCAAGCAGGGACACAGACAGCTGAGAGCACGCTGGGATGAACATAAACTATGTTTTAGCCCCAGGGTGTTGGACCTTCGCTTCGAGGGTGTCAGCCCTTCAGGCTCTGAGAGCAGAGAAGAAAATCAGATGCTAAAGCAAGAACATTGCTCTTTTGGTTTCTGCGCCTCCGCCACACCTTCCATCAGTCAGATCTTCCTCCTTTTCCCAGACTGTTTCGTCCCCTCTTTACTTGGTTCTCCCTCTAATTCCCTTCCTCCCCCATTTCATTAAGGATCCTGCCTCTCTTGCTGTCTCATTTCAATGATAATGCCTTGCTCCCCTGGACTCTTTAATTAGCCCTGCTGAGCTCGTTAGCTGGGGGTAGAAACAGCAAGTGCGCAGCCCCCAGCATTTCAGTGCCGGCGGTGACACGGTTGACTCGAGAAAGATGATTTGATCGGTGCCTGGTGAAACACGGCAGCAGCGAGCGGCACATCCGTGTCGCCTTGAACCCGAGACATCTTTAGCTCTCTGGCACAGCAGAAAAGCCTCTCTCCTTCGCTGGCAAATGTTAACGACAAGAAAAAGAATGAAAAAGCGATAATTACAGAGTAAGGGTAATTATTCAATAGAGCCCAATTATAGTCGAGTTGCAGCGTAATCAGCGTGGGAGGGGAGCACAGCTCACCGTACCGCCAAGGTCGATGGGTGGATTTTTATTCGAGGGAAGCACTGCTAAGACTTGACTTTGCGTGTAACCAGAGTTCTGGGGCTTAATCTGTGGCTGTTTGTAAAAATATTGGGAAAAAGCCAGGAGCTCAGT